TGCTGCTTGGCCTGCTGTGTTCATCCAGCCCTGCACCTTGTTGTCTCGGATTCACCAGCATCTGCAGTTCCTACTATCTCTGATTCAATTTTAAAAACTCCACACTGAATATTTAATCCAACCCGTGTTGGAATCTGAGTGGTTGCCCATGATGCCACTGACTGTCCTAGTTTGGATCATGAACAAAATAAATCAGGTCATTGTGCTCAATTTCTGAATCTGGATCATTCATCTAAAATAGAAACTCTTGTTGATCCAACAGTGACCTCTGAAATACTTCACTCTTCTGACACAAATCTCCAATATGTGCTTATCATTCCTTAGTCTGTTGTTCATTCTGTGGTTGAACCTGAATTTCCACAGCTGAACTTGCTTATGAGCCTTTGGTGTTTTTATGAAAGGTCTTGTGCAAATGAGACTGCATCTACTCGTAGGCATCAATGCAGTCTGATAGTTATTTCCACAGAGAAACCAAAGATGTTAGTGATGCTAGAGCTTCCCTTCTGAATCCATGGTGGTTCAATTAGTTATGTCAGTCACAGTACTCTCACTTTGAGAAGGCTCTGAGTTTAAGTACAGTCCAAAGACTTCAACGTTATCCTGTCAGTTGGCACTTTGCAGTGCTGAAGGAATCCGCAGAGATTTGAGTGAGACTTTAAACTGAGGTGCAGTCTGCCTCCTTCAGTGGATGTGAAGAATCCTGTGGCTGTCTTCCAAGATGGGGTGTTGGTGGTGACACTTGTCTTTGCTAATGTTGCCTTCAAATGAAACCGTGCAAGTTGCCGGGGGACCATAAGCTGCTCTCTCATTTGCCACAGCTGGTGGTGAGTTTAGCCTGAGGGCCACCATGTCTCCGTCGATAAGCTGGGGTCTTTTTGCTGACTTCAGCCAGTGCTGCAAGTGAATCTGTGCTGTTAGCATCACATTGGACAGCTGGTTTGCGACATTCAGCTGGACCCTGACAGACTATGTGGCAACTTGACTCCCGGGCTTATTTTGGAATCTTGATCTTATACAAATTATTCGTTATACTTTCCTTCATTATCATTGTCACTACATTTAAAAAAAAAACTATGCTGTTTTACTATTTTCCACTACACATTTGTAGCATGTCAGGGTTGTTGCAGTTAGTTTGACATTGTGCCTGTACAACAGTGCTCAGCACAATGCAAACTAATTTGCCTTTCAATCTGATTTCACATTTGACATGTAAATGAATTTTATGTACCTTAAGTAATATACCATGTATCCAATTGCTGTCAGACCCCTATATTTAATGTTTTAAAGCGTTTCTATGTCTGTTAGTCATGCTAAAGTCTATGAAACCTTGTAAAAAGAAACTAAAAAATTTGTAAGGGAAACAAATGTTGGGTAGCACTGTTGGAATCTGTAAATGATTTTAGGTTGATGTTTTGTGTGCAATGTTTTGTTCCATTTCAACAACAAATATTTGGACACTCGGAGAAGAGGAAGGACTCGAAGGCCCTATTTGTAAGATTTTGCTGGCTTTTCCAGCTTCTTGCCACAAAGGCTAGCACTAACCAGGCACTAGTGTTGAGCTAGACCATTATTGTAACAGTAGCATGAGAGAAACAGATGGCCAAGTTCATGCAAAGTTCATTTGAAGTCTAATATAGCTTTTTGCGGCAGTAATTTTGATATGGCACGTGTGCATTTTACTTCATTCACTTTTAGCTCAAAGTAGTTAATTGCTAAGAGGGATTCAATTTAGTTCCAATGCAAACTTCTGAGAACTATCATTGAAATTCCTTGTTCAAGTTGTGGAGTTTAAGATGTTGGGCCAGGTATTCTGATGGCTGTATAATTGTTTGTGCAGCATAGTTCACAGTTGCGTTTTAGGCTCATATGGAGCACCGAGTGCAGCAGCAGCATCTCTTCCCGTCTCCACCTTCTTTCTCTCTTCCTCCCAAACCCCGCCAGCCCCAGCTTGACCCCAGTAAATTGCGGTATTGAGATGTACGTTGGAATGTGTTACCTTGAACAAACTTGCAAGTGCCTTGATACATCTCAGCATCTGCAAGCACCCAGTTGAACGTTAAGTTCCAATTTGCTAACAGGAAATGTTGCTATTTAATTGCCAAAATCCTTTTTGCCTGCATGTTATTTTACAGCTTGACAATCGGTGTGTCTCGAATTAGTTCTGTGGCTCTTTAAAATAGGTGATAATTATACGGTTAAAAATGGTGGATAGGGTAAAGATTGTTTTGCCATTGCTGATGGCTTCCTCTCTGTCCAAAACAAAAACAAAAATTGCTGGAGAAACACAGCCGGTCTGGCAGCATCTGTGGGATGAAAGCAGAGTTAACGTTTCGAGCCCGGTGACTCATCAGATGTACGGATGCTGCCAGACCTGCTGAATTTCTCCAGCAATTTCTGTTTTTGTTTCTGATCACCAGCATTCACAGTTTTTTATTATTTTATTCCCCTGTGTCTGTATTCACTGCTACTGCTCCCTATTCTTTCAGTATTGGAAAACTGCTGAAACTAGACACTTGATTGTGCATAAGCAGCCATGATGGGTTTAATCTCTCTTTTTTTTCTTCGACCTAACAATTAATTTGGATGCATCTGGATTTTCTCTGTATTTGCCCGCATTGCTGCATTGAAGTGAATGCTATATGGAGTAGCATGGACCTCCGTCCCCTAAAAAAAAAGCAAAATAGTTCTGCAATTTGCTGTTACCTTGCTAAGTTAAACTGACCTGATGACTATTCTAATCTTTGTTCTGCATTTCCTTCTTCCAGGTTCGTTGGATGATGTACTGGATTGTATTTGCCCTTTACACTGTACTTGAAACTTTTGCAGATCTGATGGTATCTTGGTAAGAATTTAAATTGTGTTGATCTATTTTGAAGTGATAACTGGTTGATATAAAATTTTATGCCCTGGGGCGGCACGGTGGCTCAGTGGTTTGCAATGCTGCCTCGAAGCGCTAGGGACCCGGGTTGGATCTCACCCTTGGGCATCTGTGGAGTTTGTACATTCTCCCTGTGTCTATGTGGGTTTTCCCCAGATACACTGGTGACCTCCTAGAGTCCAAAGATGTGCCGGTTAGGTGGATAGGCCATGGGAAATGCAGAGTTGCAGGGATAGGTTAGGGGTGTGGGTCTTGGTGGGATGTTCTTGAGAGGGTCAGTGTTGAGTTGATGGGCCAAATGGCCTGCTTCCACGCTGTATTTATGATGGTAAGACTGATAAATTTGCCAGGCTTTGACTGAGGACTGGCAATTTATTTTTGTTCCGGATGACGGTGTTTGATGTCTTAGTATTTAGTAAGAAATTCCTTAGTTTTGAACAAGCAAAATAAACTTTACTGTCTAAAGCACCAGAATTTATGTAACACAAATATCCTTTTACTAGGGAATCCAATATGTTACTTTCAAAGATCTGACTTTGGAACTCCCTCAAAATCTGCTTTATCTGGATTGTCTGAGTGACTGCTCAGACCTTGGTAGTTTAATCCTCTCTCCAAAGACCAAATTCCCTGGGACTTTTGCCTAATCCTGAATTACCCAGTGTTGATGCTGCCTGAAATAACTTCTGAAGCACTCTCCCATCTCCATACTGCAACTGATGGTAATACTGCATACAGAGAGAGATCCCAGAGTGAGAGACAAAAACAGAAATTACTGGAAAAGCTCAGCAAGTCTGGCAGCATCTGTGAAGAAAAATCAGAGTTAACGTTTTAGGTCCGATGACTCTTCCACAGAATTCCCAGAGTGAGAGATCTGGTTTGATTAACCATAAGTTTTTTGTTTCTTTAAAGTTTACTGTGGTAGTCAGTCGCCCAACAGATTCACAAAAGGCTAACCACGAAATTTCAACAATAGAATGTAGACTTCTATTACACAACAGGAAATGAACTGATACACTGTGCAAGGATTATTTGAAACAGTCTTATTACAAATAGCAGAAAGAGAGATTCAGCTGTTTCCCCTAAACTTTAGCCACAGTCAAACCTCAGGACATCCTTCTCAGCATACGAAAACCAATTGTTTAGCTGTAATTGGTTACTTTTTGGCAAGCTATTTTCTTTGGATGGTGTAGAGACCTGCTTTATCAGTTCACTTATTTCTCAACATGCGTTCTTTTAAACTACTTGTCAACAGCCTTAGACAATATTTTGATTTCTGACATCTCAACGGCTTTCTGCTTATTGACCATTGTTTCTTACTGATTCCTAAGTCATTCAGGAGTTACTTGTAGCCAAAAGTACTAGGAAACTGCTAAACTAACAGAAATTCTGCTTTTAAGAGCAGCAGCTAGTCTCTGAACCTGCACATGGCCTGTCACCTTGAGGATGGTTCTGACTTTGTGTTTCTAGAGTCCTGACAATACGCAACACCTCTTAACTTTCTAGAGACTGCCTTTTTCGAATGAATTGTTCATCTCAAAGGTTTAACCACCTAATTAAAATGCATTTCAAGAAATTTCCAGACACCCCATCACCACATTAAAAACTGAAATCAAAGTAAAATTGTCTCCTCATCCTTGATGTGCTATAGAAATGAAAACTGAACTTTAAGCTATTCATCATTCCTCTACATTAAGATGCATTTGCGTTTGACTACCTTCAGCCAATTAATATCTTCCAGAAAATACACCCCCAAAGAACATAAAACCAGAGAACCTTCTTAACTTCTACCTATCTCCATGACAATGTAATCTGCTGTGTATTCTGTAATCTTTGGAGTTAAGTATCCCTCGTTTTGAATTTCTTGATTGTTTTACAGTCTTGCAGAATTCAGCAAATTACTTTAAGCTAGGTTAGATCTAATGTTCAAGACAAACTATCTTTTCTATCCTGATCTGCCTTTGTAGCTGTTACATCTCTTCAAGCAACAAGACCCCAACCTTATAAATGTGATACACTGCAAGGTGTTGAAATTGCATTTATCCCATTTCTGTATATTTAAAGTTATGAAACTTAAAAGATTTAGATACTAAAACATGCAAAATATGAAACTAGATATTTGCAACAAATTTAAAAGAAAAGCTGTAAATGGGAGACATCTGTAATGAATACTTTGGAAAAATGCAAAAAGAAATAAAGTACAGCAAGCCTTTTATTAACTGGCACTCATTGGGATCAAGAGTGTGCTGGTTGATTCAGATAATGAAGTAGTACACAAAACTGCAGTAAACTCTGACCAACCAAAGCTTCGAGACATCAGTATCCCTCAAAAATCTTTGTAAAACCAACACACCTCCTAAAATCAGTGTATAAACACAGTAAGTAATAGAAAGATAATGCAGGGGGTATGCACATCTCCGTTATAATTTATGAACAGCATAAATACTCGAACATCGTGGTAGATCATGGTATTTGAGGTATATAATTTTTGCCAGTTTATCAAGAGTGCCAGCTGATAAAGTGCTGGTTACAACAAAGTTTGGTGTTCTCTGTCATCAGGTTAGACAGCATTTTTGGAGAGAGAAATGATTACTATTTCAGGTAGATGATTTTTCATCAAAACTGGTGAAGGTTCTTAAAGAAATACACAAGAGGATAATGAGGGGAGAATGACCTTACTTTTCCTTCTATGATAAACTGGCGGATAGGAGGGATTAAATGACAAAAGAGATAATGGTGGAAGGAAAGAGGAGATGATAATTGGCGCTTGCAAAAAACGCTGGAAAAGGTGTCTATGAGCAAAACAGTGATTACCAATAGCACCTATTGTAGAAACAAAAGACATCGTAAGGAGCTGCTGTGGTTGAATTCAGTGAATCCAGAAATCTGTACACAATTCTAAATATGCAGCAGGCCTGTCGGCCTCTGTGAAGGGTGATGATGAGCTGTGGTGCACCCTCACATTTACTTGAAATCAGTCATGAATAAATGCTGATATTGATTTTTTTTCTCCCAGTGGCTGATTAACTTGCTATGTGTTTTCTCGCAATTTCTGATGATTAGCCTTTAGTGAAAATATTGGCTGTATCATTCTTGCCAGCCAGATATATTGATGTTGAATGCTCCCACTGTCAAAATTTGAGTAATTTTTCTCAATCCTGTTCTGAGTGATGTTTATGTGATGTTACAGAATTATTTTTGGGACACTTGTCTGCAACACAATGGCACCTGTTTTCAAATCCATAATGAGAATTGCTGAATTCTCATAAAATCTGGGAAGTTGTTATTGATGTGGTGGTGGTTATTTGGTTTTTGTATCAATTAATCTCACTAGCTGGGCTAGTATTTATTGTCCATCTCTAATTGCCCTTGAGAAGGTGGTGAGCTATTTTCTTGAACTGCTGCAGTTTATGTGGTGTAGGTATACCTACACGATACGAGGAAGGGGTGTTCCAGCGACAGTGAAGGGACCGTTATTGTATATATCCAAGTTACGATGGAAATGTGCAGGTAAAGTTCCATTTCCCTGCTGCACTTGTCCTTTTAGATGGAAATAGTTGTTTGGTTCAGAAGGTATCGAATTGGGAGCCTTGATGAAATTCTGCAGTGTACCTTGTAGGTAGCGTACCCTGTGGGCACTGAGCATCGGTGGTGGAGTAAGTGGATACATATGTAAGTGGTGCTAAACAAGTTGGCTGCTTTGTCCTGAATGGTGTCAAGCTCCTTGAGTGTTGTTGGAGCTGTACTCATCCAGGCAAATGGGGAGCATTCTATCACACTGCTGACTGTCACCTTGGTGGTGGACAGGCTTTGGAGAGCCAGGAGGTGAGTCATTCCTTGCAGGATTTCCAGCATCTTAATCAGTGAAATGGCTGACCCTCTCTCTCTCTCTCTTCTCAAAATACTGGTGGGAATCTGCACTCAGTGTGAGAGTCTAGCTTGTGTGGAGTTGAAACACTTGGATGATTTGCTTAGTTTAGGTTAGAGCATGAATCCCCAGGAAAACCACTCATAGTGGCACCTCATCCACTACTTACACCGTTCACTGTCTTCACCACAGGTGCAGTAGCAACAGTATGTGCTTTCTGAAGAATGTACTACAACAACTCGCCAATCAAGGTTCTTTCACACCATTTTCCAAATGTGATCACTCTCACTTGGAAGGACACATGCAGCAGATGTGCAGAGCATAGCCACCTGCAAATTCCCCTCCAAGCCATCTCGAACTAGCAACGTTGCCATTTCTACAGTATTAAAATCCTGGAGCTCCCTTCTGAGTGGCACTATATGGTTGTACGTGCCCCACTGTGGATTTGTGTTAAAGAAGACAGCTTAACATCACCTAATCCACAGCTTTTAGGGATTTGCAATTAAGACTAGCCTTGCCAATGGTGGTCACGTCCCAAGAACGTAATAAAGGAGCTCAGATGCTGCTGTGTATTCAGGTATTTAAGATATTAACAGCTCCATGTGGGCTGGGGACAGTGCAGTGATTCAAGAAACATTAAAAACTTAATTGTTTGCTTATCATCCTGACCTAGGATCTTAATTTGATTCTGTGATAATTGAATTCATTGAATTTCAGGTAGTGGCAATTTAATTGCTCATGGGAAATATTTTCTGAATTGATGAGGTTAACAAGCCGACTTGGAATCTGAATGTTAATGATGCTTGGGACCCATTTGAAGAAGTTGATTACTCACAGAAATCCATGAAAAACATGGCTCCCATTAGTTCCAGGGTTTAGAAAAAACAGTTTCCAGATGCCTTCTCCATTTTGCTGGAAACAGCAACGGCTTCCTCCAGAGATTGTTGCAGTTGTCGCTTTGACTGCTTATGGGATATCTGTGAAGCAGACGTCCGTCAGCTAGAGTGTTTCATATCCCTTCCATACAATACTGTCTGAACTTGTCCGCTGTTCACTGGCGGCAGAAATTACCGTGCCCTTTCTCCTGTGAAGTTTATCTTTGTGTTCCCCTGAGTATAGTTGATTACTGCCCATGTTGTACTGTAAACCATTCTTGCAAAGCGTGCACAGAGAAATGTTTTGCTGTATTCTTTGCATGGCGTTAGCTAAAACAGGACAAATGCTCTACACACACTGATTCCATAGGATAGAATAAGGCCCTTTAATTCCTGGTGTACTGTAACACTCCTTCATTTATACCTATGCACAAGTTCTCAAAAAAATATTCTGTAGTGACCTTAAGACCCCTGTCTTCACATACTCATTCTAAACTGGTACTCTCTCCTGTCGGTTATGTAATCAGTTGCATCAGATTTGGTTCAGTTACTCTCAGACCTTTGACACTAGTTACCAATATAGATTGTAAATAGCTGAGGCCTAGTGATGCTGCATGGGGGTCCACCACCGAATGTCTTTCAGAAACTGAGCTAAGGCCATATTAATCTTTGTTTTAAGATAGGTGTGTGTCTCAAAGAATAATGAGAATTCTCCCAATGTGATTTTATCTCCCTAAGTTCTCTTCCTAAAAATTTGCGCTCAATTTGTATTTCCATTTTTGTAACCTGCTTCTGGAGTCTGGTGAGGGAATGGAAGACAAAGTTGTGTGAAACTGAAATTGCACATGCAATTTGTGGAAAATGTACTTTAACTTATCAACCTGGCTATATTGCAGTGTGTCAAGCTGCAGCTGTGTTTTGTAAAATGAACAAGCGTGGGGTAAGCCACCAAGAAACTAACTAAGATGACTCTAGTTTTGTCAGTTTGCATCTAAATACCGAGCATAATTGACTTCTGAGTTTACATTTAGCTTGATATTTGTTACTGTTGGTTTGCAGGCTTCCACTGTACTACGAACTTAAAGTGGCATTTGTTATCTGGTTGCTATCCCCATACACTCGAGGTGCAAGTTTACTTTACAGAAAGTTCCTGCATCCTCTTCTATCCTCACGTGAACGGGTAAGTATTTCACTTGCTGCCAAGTCTATGCGTAATGTCCATTTTTAATTGATTCCCATTCTAACTACAGCATGTTGGTGAAAGCAGTTTAAATTGCTAGTTTTATCTGGACTGATATTGATTTGGAGTACATGATGCACAAACTGAAGATGCGCCATAGTGTAATAAGAAACATCAGTTGCAATTTTGTGAAGTAAAACTTTTGAGTCTTGTACGCTCTTCATAGAATTACAGAATTGTTACAATGTAGGTAGAGGCCATTCTGCCCATCCTGTCTGGATTGGTTTGTGTTGTCTGGTTTTATCTTACCAGTCAATTGTGCTCTTGGTGGCAACATATATTTAATCGAAAATTTGCAATGGGAAAATGGCAGTGCAATTAAGAATGGAAAACAAATTTTCAGTTTTTTAACTGTTCTAATTGATCTTTGCGAGCTTATCAATTAGCATAATTTGAAATACTGAGCATAAGAAAGGTTTGGCTGATCTGCGATGAGTGATGACTTACTGGATTGGCCACAGTCTCTGTTTGAGACTATATTTGTCGTCTGTGAGGACAATGTTACACTTGTCGAGTTTGGGGCTGTGTAAGGTATGGAATGACTGGCTGCAGATTAAGCTATTTCTCAGGCCCAACCTCAAGGTACACCTGAATGCACAAGTATAATTTATTTGTTGCCGGTTAGTGGCAGATTGAGCTGGGAGATGGAAGGAGCCTAGATATAGTCACACGTGACTGTTCTAATAAATAGAGAGTAAGTGCTGAAGGATTACTACAGTGTCAATCGTGTAGTTCTTCGGATGAGATTTTAAATTCTGGACCTGTATTCCCTCCCAAGTGGGCATAAAAAGTGATATCAAAAAGAAGGGGCATTTTAACTTGTATCTCTTTGTCTGTTGATTATCTGATTACCTGTATAATTGCTGTTTGGACTTTCCTGTTTGCAAATTAGTTACGGCAAGCTTTGGCATGTTCACAATTGCAAAACTAATTGAATAAATTTTAAATTCTGTCTTAATATTTAACAAAAATTTAAACAGTTATGTTTTGATTTAGAAAACTTTCTCACAAAATGAGGGATATAGTAACTTGAGCTATTAATCCATCTTGGTGTAAGAGATAGTGTTGTTTAATTTTTAAGCGAATATTTAATGACTGTTATAGTATTCATTTTTTTTGTTACAGGAAATTGATGACTATATTAGTCAAGCCAAAGATCGAAGCTATGATACTATGGTGAAGTTTGGAAAGCAAGGTCTAAACTTTGCTGCAACTGCTGCTGTGTCTGCTGCAGTGAAGGCAAGTATTGTGCCCTTGTCGAAAATTGCTGAAGTTGAAGATTTCTATTAAATCAAATTCACGTAGTGTTATAATATCTGAACATAACGTTGTTCTAGGCCTTCTATGGAATTTATCCTGTCCTGCTTTCAGGCCGAATTAAGAGCATCCTGTAAGATTTATTTTTCAAAGTTCTAAGGTGCGTGTGCAGGAAATGAAAGAGGGAACATGGGTAGTACAGTCTCACACGTAACATCTATGTTAGTTTGCGTCAAAGGTTGTACGCAAATAAGGAGAAAATAGAAGACGATGTTTCTCAATTTTGTGCATAGATCCTCCTAAAATGCACCACATGCCTCATCAGATATTTTAGCCTAACATTGAAAAAGTAAACCTATCTTAAAGTATGCCTTTATTAAGCCTCCAAATACTTTAATATACAGAAGTTGATGCATATATTAAAAACATGGTTTATTTCCATTGTATTTTAATTCTGCACCAACAGTTTTATAGATTTAATTTTATGTTCTTGCCTAGCTTGTAGTTTCCCTTCTGTCTTTTATTCTAACTGTGATATTGCTTTCTCTTGCCTGTATTCGCAAACTGTCTTCAGGATTGTTGCTCAGCTTTCTGCTGTTGTACTGGGCCATTCAAGTTGAGGTAATAAGACTATTGGCATAAGTTGTTTGACATGGATAATTGCTGCTGTACTTATTTTTCTAAGATATGGTTGACTGGCACTAATTACCTTTTTAGCCTTAAATTTGAATGTTTGTTACCATTGGGAAAATTCCAGTAATTGGAATTGTAATGCTGGTTTTTAAAGCTACAAGCAGCATGTATTCCTCATCAGTAGCCTTGCAACTTCAATGTGTATTGTCCTTTTTAATATTTCTACACATTCTTTATTGGTGTCTTTTGGGATTCAAGCAGTTTAAAAACTTTGCACTGTAAGTCAATCTGAAAATTAAAATGGGAATATTGGGGTTGGGTTCTTCTATAATTAACATTGAGGCAATTGGTTACGGAATGAAAATTGAACAAATCCTCATACAAATTGAATTTTCAGTTAGAAAGGGGTCGTCTTCTGATTGTCACAGTTGTTAACTTGCCGAAACATCCTGACTGAAAGAAAAAACAACTCCTTGTTTGTCATTGTTGATTTCTGGTTTGGACTTCCATTGTTTGAGCAATTTTGGAATTGGTTTTGACGTACTAATTATATGCAAAACAAAATTTGTAGTTTCCCACTTAAAACATGCTAAATTATTTTCATACTCTTGCTCGTGCTTACTCTGGAGAATACAGTTCTGTCCAGTTGCTTAACTGTCATTATGTGGTTGTGCCAGTAATAGTTAGCTTGTAATAATACACAGCTTTTTTTATCTGTAAGTGTTGCTTTTAACAGTGTTTACAAAAAAACAGGATTTTGACAGTACCGCATGTAAATTAGTTGCTTTCTTTTCGGAGTATTTTTCTTTGTATTTATCGTTTTCCTTGATTTAGTAGTGTCCATTGTCATCTGGTTTAGCTTATGTATCAACCTTTTGTAGAAAAGTAAGACTTTCCAGTGTCCCCAATTTGTGATGTTGAAACTGCGCTGCCGTCTTAATTCTATGTTGACAGAAACTTGCAGTAGATTTCAGAGATGAGACGAGCCCTTAGGAGGGAAGGGATAGGCATTCCTCCTCAGTGTGTTCATGGATCTCTGGTGTTCAAAAGGGTGACCAATGTTTGAAGCACTCCGAAGGCGGTTGCAGTTATCCCCTTGTTAAAATGAGCATGGTTCATGAGAGAGCTTGAACATTGTTACAAGTGGCTACTTCACTATGGTGAGACTCCTCTCAGTCAGCACACTTTGACTGGTCACTGGATGACAGTTGATAGCTTTAGATTTTTAATTTGTCTGACTGTGGTGGTCTCACTGTATAGCCCCAGCTGACATTACGCATTCTAGATCTGAGATTAAACCTGATGCTTTCCTGACCTCTGACTTGGTACCACAACACACTTTTTGTGCATGTATCCTTTAAAGCTGAAGGGAGACTTCTTAAAATCTCTAACTATAGTACAGCAATTGTTAAACATTGAATGCATTTGATGAAAAATGAAGGTTTATGATGTCTGATTTTTGTTGTTCCATGTAGAGTCAAGGTGCAATCACAGAGAGACTGAGAAGTTTGAGTATGCATGATTTAACAGCAATACAAGGCGATGAACCAGTGGGACATCGCTCCATCGATGTTGCTGCAGATACCAGAAGGAAGGTGAAACATTTGAAAGATGATGCTAGTAAGTAGCTTAACAAAAATATTACAACGACTTAAATGTAAATGCTGAAGTAATCAGGTATGTAGTACAGCATGTAAATTTTCTGGAAAGTAAACTCTGAAACTGGGCTGCAGCTGTAACATGGATGTAACATGCCAGAATTGTTTTGGAAAGTGGGGAAGTTGGGCGAAGAGAGGGGTGCTGGAGTTCACCTTACCAGCCTGGCATTTTTAGAGTGTGATTCAATAGATTTTATCACTATCTTTTGATCTGAGATTGAAAACAAAGAGCCTGCTGACAGTAAGTGGACTGTAGCATAATGATACATTACAGGGCTAGTAATCCTGTGGTCAGGAGATTAGCATACAAATCCTGCCATAGTAACCGGAATTTATTTCAAGTAAAATCTTGAATAAAAAAACTATAGTAAGTAATGTTCACCATCTAACAGTTGGATTACCATAAAAAGCTCATCTGGATCCCAAGTATTATTTCAGGAAGGAAATCTGGCCTATATGTGACTCCAAATGCGCAGCAATGTGACTAATTTTTAACTGGTTTCTGACGTGGCTTAACAAGTAACTTAGTCGTCAAAAAGGTGACTGACCATCTTTTTGGGGGCATTTGTAAATGGACAATGAACTTTTGGCTTACTCGTGACACCCACGTTTTACAAATGAATTTCAACAATTTCCTGACCTGTGACTAGTTTGAACAGTAAGATTTACTTTGTAACTTTCATTAATTGTTTCCTGCTTCTGGAGACCACAAATCTCTAGAATGGCAATTAGTATTTCATTGCAGTTGAGAATGCTCCAGAGGATTTAGCAAGGCCAGCATGAATTTTAATTTGATTCTCATCTTGATCTGAGGTAGGGAAGGGGGAACTGCTAGCTTTCCCAGCCTTGACATCTGGCAAGTTTGGCAGTCTGCCAGACTTCAGTTGAAACATGTGTTTAGGGAAATGTCTATGTTTATCTTCATTTTACAGATTTGCCTCAGCACATTTTTTTCCACATTGGAAATCTGAAACTTGCTTTACCCCACCTATCCCATTGCCAGCTCTTGCAAGGCTGTGGATACTAAGTATTACAAGATGCATTGACTATCATTTTATCTATGTTTAGTGATCTAAAGTGTTTCCTTCTATCGCCTACCAATTTGCAAGTGGCTTTTTGAAAGCTAGAAACTCGTTAGTATGTAATGACCAAAGTGTGACTTTGTACTACACTAAGAGAGGCCCACACTGTGAAAATAGGAAATGCATCATGAAACCATTGTAGTAAACGCACAAATATATTGTGTTTCAAAATGAGAACTTCTTGCCTTTTTATAATGTTGCATGTGTATCCTGGTTATTACTTGTTTTCTGAATGCTTCATAGTATATCTGTAGTCATTTCACTGCCATCACAATTTGTGTCAGTTTGGCCTAAGTTCAGAATTGGCGGATTATATGAAGTGCCCAGAGGCTTATCAAAAACCAGAATAAGCAGGAATGTTACTTCACAGAAGAGTTCTTTGCACCAGATTTGTGGTGTTTAGCATTGGTGCAAAGATCAATCTGCAAGGACTGAACTTGTAGAAATGTATCCTGAATGATCGTGCACAAGTGAAACTTCCACTTTTGCTAAGCATTCTAAATCTGATTTTCAAAATAATCGAGTGAATTGTAGCTACTACTCAATACAATAGTAATTATAACTAGTCATTGTGTGTATTCAATATAAACATTCACATTGGGCACCTTGTTCCAAGCTCTCTGTTATTCCTGTATCTCCTGCTCATTTGGCTCTAGGTGCTGTTCATAAAAATATTTAATATCTCATCATTGTGTATTCATTTCTGGAGAAAGGAACATGTTTTAATTTCTTGCTGCTGGTGGTGACAACAGTATAATTGATGTTTAATTACATTGAGAGATATACACAATGGGTGTCTGGTGTGTTCTGATGTATTTGGGCTCTGTGAACAGATATTCTGAAATTTCAAAATGTGTTTTTCCAATTCTAGACTGTAATCCTTGATTACAACTGTATGGGCCACTTAGTTGTTTTGAGAGCTGTGGGGTCTGGGCACTGAAGTGTTTGGTGCCCCCATGTGGAGAGTAGGCCAAATGTAGAATGATAATCCTTATTTGGACATTGTTCCTAACTGAATTTAAACAGTGAACTGAACTTCAATGCCTGCTTTGTCCATTGACAGACACTTGACTTTTACATTCAGAAACTTGTGCAAAAGCATCTGCAGAATATGGTTAGTAAGTTTACTGAATTGCCATTTCATTTCAGATAGGAGTTTTAATTTTGATGATGATCTGGATGGTAAGGCGCAGTCAGAGGAAGACCATGATGCTGCTCATTCAGACGATGAGATTGCCAAACAGAAATACCTCCGACGATCACAGAGCCTTAAACTGAAACAGCGAGGCTATCGTAAAGAGGTAAATTTTTTCAGCTCTTTGCAGCTTTAGATCTTTATCTTTTAATCTGTTATCATCATATTTTGATTTCTTGCAGTGTATTTGGGCATGTATTGAAGTGAGTTAAATATTTCGGTTTATTTCCAAATATAGTATGAGTTGAAGTGACCAAAGTTGAAACTTAGATTCTGTTCAGAATTGAGTATGAATTTGAAAACAGATCAGGTGATTGTTTGTTTGTTTGTTTGTTTGTTTGTTTGTTTGTATGCACCAGTATAGAACTTAATTCCATCAAATCACGGACTTGCTCTGTTAGAGTAGAGAAAGTTATTTTGTCAAACTTGAGGGATTTTGTTAAGAGCACTTCTTTACGACGGCATAAAAGTTGGTGATCGGGGGCATAGATTTAAGCTGAATGAAAATTTATTGGTATTGAATTGGCTTCTGCCAATGTAATTCCAATTTATAAAACAAACATAGGTCAATAAACACTTTCTCTTTTATTCATGCTGTAATATATAAATCTTGTGATTCAGCTGTTCAAAATTAAATCATTGACCCTTCTGTGCTCCTTGGAGAATAATTTCAACTCTATAATCTTTGTGACCAAAGTCGTCATCCCTTTTACCATTTGAGTAGATCTCTGCACCCTCTCGAAGGAATGGTTTTATGTATGAATGGGAAAGATGAAAATGAGAACTGTAAATCATTTGAAAAATTCTACGTACCTGATAATTATTAGTGTGGGCTATAAGAAAGTGTTAATGTGCACTTTATTCCAAGAAAATGTAGTAACCAAATTTTATTTTGTACAGACCAGGTATGGATCGCTGAAACTGAGAAGTAAGAAGAGACCCCAATGTAGTTATATCACTACAGGATGAAGTGACTATTTTGCTAAAGATTTCTACTGAGTGTGACTTGACCTGAATATGTGCAGTTTGATATGTTATAAATACTTCATTTTTTCAAAAAAAACTGCAAATCTGTGGTTCCTACATATGTCTGTTCTTGACTGATCCCTCTGAGTTAAACCAGTAGATGCCACTTTCATTGTAATCAGTGGGCTCAAAAAGTAACGAACGTAACTGGTAGTTTAAAAAGAATTAACAGGAAAAGTAGTCATCATTGATCAACTTAACTTTTTGCATGAAGTGTAATCCTTAACAACGGGAACATCACAAAGAAGAAGTGGACAGCTAAGAGACCAAGATTGATTATTTCAAGGAGAAAATATGAAATACTTGAATCCTACAAATACTTCCAGGTCTTAAAAGTAACTTGAATTTGAGCTATCTTTAAAGCATCAAAGTCAGCAAATATTCCAAATGTACTTTCTTCAAAGAAGTGCACACCTGACTCCGACCATACTTAAAATGTTTTCAGGAATGATTTGGTAACTTTCTGGGTTGATAGTTGGAATGTTGGTATTTTGTGATATATGCATGTGTTACGGATGGCACATTTCCAAAGTTGTGCATTTTTGAAGCCAAAATGCAAAATATTTGGTATTTTCAAATACAAGTGTATTGCACACTGACTGCATGTTTTTATAGTTTTGTAAAGTTTAATGGTGCCTTCATTTCAGTAAGGTCAGGATATGCTTATGCTGTAAATCCTTTAACATTCTTGTTTTCTTAACTTCATATTTTTAAATATGAAATATATTGATGTAATTTTAGAATCAAGTACTTGGGGAAACTATCGTGTGTCATCTTGAATGTGAAGTATTCTCTGAATTCTGCCATTCAGGTAAATGTTGACACAGTGTAATATATGACTATTTATTTATCAGGTTCTCAAAATAGCAGAAGTTGCTGGTTGTCTTTTGATGTCTAGAATGCAGCTGAGCTGCAATACATGTACCAATTAGTGCAAGACTCAAAGCTTTTATTGTAATAAATCTACTTCTGATAGTACACGTTTTTGCCTTTGACTTCTTATTATAGCTTGCTTGATGGTTTTCTGTACGTTGACTGGTGAGTCAATGTTGTTCGTCGCTCCAAGTTTTCTGTTGAAATAACTAAAAGGAGACTTAATTTATTTATTTGGTAATTTTCACAACCACTGCATGTCTCAAATATACTTGACACCCAGTGAAGCACCTTCAAACTGTTATAATGTTGGAATAGTTGATTTGCATACAGCTTCACAGACAGCAATTGGATACTGTCAGTGCCATTTTATTTTTGAGATACTTGATTGAGGGATAAATGTTGGCCAGGACATTGGGGATAACTGACCTGGTCTTCAAATAGTGGCTGTCGGTCTCTATTACATCCACTTGAGCAGGTTCCGGGTCTCATTCTGAGAGACAGTGCAGAAGCGCATCAGAACTGTATCCAGTTCAAATTCACTACATGTCACTGTTTGTTTGTTTGGTGATCACTGACTTGCACTTATACTGACTTTTTTTAAGAACACTTTTTAATTTGATGCACAGTTTACTGATCAACCTTCTGCCCTCAGCTGTTTCTGATTCTGTCTGTCATTCTTGGCTCATCCTGGTTTAATATTTCCATTTGCACTGTTTTAATTTTTGTATGCTGCTTCTGTTGCTGAATTTAGTCATAGAATCTCGACAGTGTGGAAGCAGGCCATTTGGCCCATCGAGTCCAAACGTACCCTCTGAAGAGCATCCCACCCAGATCCTCCCCCAGTCCCTGTAACCCTGCATTTCCCATGGCTAACCCACATAGCCTGCGCACCCCTGGATGGTATGGACAATTTAACATGGCCAATTCAACTAACCTGCACACCTTTGGACTGTGGGAGGCACCTGGAAGAAACTCATGCAGACATGAGAATGTGCAAATTCCACACAGACAGTCAACCAAGGGTGGGATCGAACCTGGGTCCCTGGTGCTGTGAGGCAGCAGTGCAAACCACTGAGCCATTGTGATGTCCCTTACCACTAATAAATAGAAACAAGCTGCAGAATGGCGCAGGACAGCGTGACTCTGGGTATCCTGCATGAATCGCAAAATATTAGCCTGCAAGGTGCAGCAAGTAATTCAGAAAAGATTGTAATGTGTTCCTTTATTGCAAAGATTATGAAATGTTCAAGTAGTGAAGTCTTGTTAACTGTACAGTGCTTTGGTGAAACCATGCCTAAAGTACTATATACAGGTTAGGTCACCTTACTTGATGGATATTCTTACGTTGGAAGCAGTTCAGAGCATGTTCACTGGGTTAATTTTTAGGATGCAGGGTTTGTATTATGTACTCATTGGAGTGCAGAAGAATAAGAGGTAGTCTTATTGAAACACAAGATTCTGACTTCACTTGATAAGATAGATGCTGAGAGGATGTTTTCTCCTTGGGGGAATCGAGCACTGGGGGCACAATTGGAAGATAATTTAGTCTCCCATTTAAGATAGAAATGTAATTTAGTCTCTGAGACTTGTTAGTCTTTGGAATTGTCTTTTCCCATTTAGCATTAGAGGCTGGAACAGTGAATATATTCAAGACTAAGTTGGGCAGATTTTTAATTAGCAAGGGAATTGCGACTTATGGAGAAGAGGCAGGAAAGTGTAGTTAAGGCCACAGTCAGGTCAGCTGTGATCTTAACAACTCGTAAAGTCGGATTGAGGGGGCCAAATAAATAAACTGAAAGTAAAGTTCCCTTAAAACTGCCCCTACCAAACATTCCCAGGACAGGGCCAACAAGGGGTTAAAATACAGAATAAAACGTTCTCTGCTTTTTCAGGGAGTCCAACAATAAATAGTAGGGATGCAGCCCCCACGGGGGCACACTTTCAAAATCAAACACAAATGAAAATGTGAAGTGGGAATTGCATGGGTCTATTCGGAACAAAAAGCAAGTGAGCTGTTTTGGCCAGCAAGACCAAACTTTCTATAGCAATTTGCTCCACACAAGTTGGCTGAGTTTTCTAGATAATGTGTTAAACCTGTACTCAAATAACCCAAACATTTTTCGGACAGGGTGCTTTCATATCTGGATTGGGTATAATGGAGAGCTCTTTTTTTTCATATCCTCTGCTCAATATTGTTCTTTATTCATTCATGGGATGTGGGTGTCACTGACTGGGCAGCATTCATTGTCCAGAGGGCAGTTTAGAGTCAACTGCATTGCTGTGGGTCTGGAGTCACATGTAGGCCAGACCAGGGAAGGATGGCAGTTTCCATCCCTAAAAGAACATTAGTGAACCAAATGGGTTTTTCATCATTAGACTGTTAATTCTAGTCTTTTTTTTTATTGAATTCAAATTCCACCATCTGCTATGGTGGGATTTGAACCTGGGTCCCCAGGATGGTAGCTGGGTCAACAGTCCAGCGATGATACCACTAGGCCACTGCCTCCCCATTTTATCAATATTGTATCAATCACTGTTCTGTACAAAAGTTGATGTCTGGTGTAACTTCACCCAATCGTGATTTTTAACTTGATATCTTTTGATCTTGCTGTTTCTTGCCAGGGGCCTGGAAAAACAATGTATCAGCAAGCAACCATTTATACCAGAGTCCAGAAGTGTTCCTCAAAACTGTAGGTTCAAATCCCTATCCTTTCAAAGCACTCCCTGTGTTGGGATTGAGACCTTATTATTTAAAAACTTTTTTTTTATTAAAGACATGTATTAACTTCTGTTTTGTTGCATATGTATTCACCTGGATCCATTTTTACAATTGTTTCAAAGAGATGTGGCTAGGCGTTCTCTTTCTTTTAAGAAGTATTAGAATTGATATGAAATTAAGCAGGTTAAATGTTGAACAACAGAACGTGAGTACCATGTATATGATACTGTGGTCATAACTACCATGTGAAATTGTAGGTTGTAATTATGGGTTGTTCAGAATAACATCAAAAGCAGGTCAGTTTTCATTTCTTTTGTTTTTTGGTGCCATATCTGAAAGCTACATGGAGAGCTCACTGCTAAACAGCTGACAGGAATTATTAAGAATGGCTGACCATTCCGCAGCTTTCCAACCCAAAGGGGAATGAATGAAGTCTGTCTTTGGGAGAGAATTCTCAATAACAGTGGGTATGTGCAAAAAGGAAGTTTCCTTTGGTTGAAGCGAGAATTGGCTGGGAGTCTGGAGCTTTAGGAGCACTGTCTAAATTGGAAAGGCAGCTGGTACAATTGTGGTCTGAGGACAGCATTCAAAAATGTAGTTGTCCAGGTGATGAAGATATGTATTACAGTTCGGGAACAGGAAGTCAAGAGTACAAACCATTTGGTGAAAATAAAAGCCAAGTCTCATGGAATAGCAAGGTTGCGCTTCGAGTGGGTGGTTGGGACACAGTTGGAAATGAAATCAGAGGCTCTTTGGTGCTAACATAAACTAAAAAATATGGTTTAATTTTTTTGCTGAATTGCAAACATAGGAATTTTGGCTGATGCAGGACTTAATGTAAGACAGATTGATGGGATGTGACGGCCAATGGTGTCAGAAGTGAAATGTAGCAGTCAGTTTAAAGCTGACATTGTACTTGCAATGGTCATACTAAAACTACCATTCAGTTGAAAGGTGGGGTGCAAGTATGGAGACCAAAGGCAGAACCAGAAAAGAAATCTTGCATTTATGTAGTACCTTATGTGACTGCAGATTGTTGCAAAGTGCTTTACATCTGAAGTATGTTTTGATGTGTTTTGATTGTGATTTGCATGAACAAGGTTCACATACAGTTAATGCGCAAATAAGCAGGGTTAAATAATGGCCAAGACCATGGGAGACTGCCCTGCTGTTAAGTTTGGTTTGTGGGATCTGTTACGTACTGAGGGGGAAGGTAGTTGCAATTAAATATCTCAACCCAATATCTCCAACAGTGCAGTATTCCCTCAGTATCGTCTTGGAGTGTCAGGTTAGATTATACATTTCAGTCTGCAGAGTGATTAATTTAACCCACAATTGGCAAGTGTGATTACTTGGCTAAAGTAAATAATAAAGGTGAGCATGTGATGTTGGGCAGTAAATTTCTAACCTTGTGCTACTGTGCATGCCCAATGCCAGTGAGTCCAGGAAAATGCAGTTTATTATACTGCAGTAGAAAGGAATAAATAGGTGCTCAGACTGGTGAAAGATGAGAAATGTTCCACAGGAGTAAGTGGTAGGAAAACTGCTGTCTTTCAAATTTTGCAGATGTTAAATTAGTATATAGCTAAGTGATGACGACTGAAACAGAAGACAACTGCAGAATTGAATGTGTAATTGGGTGAGCTAGCTAGTAATATGAAAGAAGACTACGTGAGTTTCTTTTTTAGATACATGAGAGGTAAGAGAGAGGCAAGAATGGACAATGAACTGGTGGAAAATGAGGCTGAAGAAGTAGTAATGGGGAACAAAAAATGGCAGAGAAACTGAATAGGTACTTGGCATCAGTTTTCACAGAGGAAGACACTATAGAGTCATACAGCACAGAAACAGCCCATTCTGTGCCGACCGGTAGCATAGGAGCAGATGTCAGTGTAGTGACCATCACAATGGAGAAGGTGTTGGGGAAGTTAAAAGATCTGAAGGTGGATAAATCATTCAGACAGATGGACTACACCCAAGGGCCCTGAAGGAGACAGCTGAGGAATTTATAGAGGCATTGGTGATGATCTTTCAGGAGTAACTGGAGTCAGGGAGGGTACCAGATGACTGGAAAATGGCTAATGTAACATCCCTGTTGAAGAAGAATCCTTAGGATCTATGCTGTACATTAATTCAGAGCCTTTTGCTGGACAAAACAGCTTTTTTCAGTTCATAGAATTAGATGGTAGCAGTTATGGGTGTCTAACAAGACAGTGGCTTTTGTTAGTTAGAACAAACTTTAAAGCAAAACTGGCAAAAGGATTTTTCATTTGAAATACTTTGAAATCTGACAAAGCCACCAACATCAGGGCTTCTGGCTTATTTGCCATTTGAAATCTGATCTGAAGATAGGCCATCATTCTGCAGCTGCCTGCTATTTGAG